AGATGGAGATTCAGCTGAGCCATGCCAATCGCCAGGCTGCTGAGTCCCAGAAGCAGCTGAGGAATGTTCAGGCACAGTTGAAGGTATTGTAGCCCACATATTTTTTGCAAAGATTGTCAGTCCAATTTTTTTGGCATTCAAGGGAATATTTTCCTGACATATTTCACTAGGATGCACAACTGCACCTTGATGATGCTGTCAGAGCTCAGGAAGACCTCAAGGAACAGGCTGCTATGGTAGATCGCAGGAATGGTCTCATGGTTGCTGAAATTGAGGAACTTAGAGCTGCTCTGGAACAGACTGAGAGAAGCCGCAAAGTTGCTGAACAGGAGCTGGTGGACGCAAGTGAGCGCGTTGGTCTCCTGCACTCTCAGGTGAATTTTCCTTGATTTTCTCCACTATGTAACTGATCTTGATCAGCATTAAGGGAAAACAATGACTTTGATTGACACTAATTATTTTATACTTTCAGAACACAAGCCTTATGAACACCAAGAAGAAGCTTGAGACTGATCTAGTCCAGGTCCAGAGTGAAGTCGATGACACAGTTCAGGAAGCAAGGAATGCAGAGGAGAAGGCCAAGAAGGCCATCACTGATGTAGGTTTTAAAAGAAATGCTTTTTTACTCCTGCTTAATGTGTCTTAATAAAGTAATTCTTAGCAACATTAAATGCTGTCTCCTACAGGCTGCTATGATGGCTGAGGAGCTGAAGAAGGAGCAGGATACCAGTGCTCACCTGGAGAGGATGAAGAAGAACCTTGAGGTTGCTGTCAAGGATCTGCAGCATCGCCTGGATGAGGCTGAGAATCTGGCCATGAAGGGTGGCAAGAAGCAGCTCCAGAAACTTGAGTCTAGGGTGAGAAAATCCTGTTAATAATTCTTACAACAGGGTCAAAACTTTGAAAAATCTATATTTAAATTTAATGTTTGCTTTTTTCTGAAGGTTCGTGAGCTGGAGTCAGAGGTTGAGGCTGAGCAGAGACGTGGAGCTGATGCTGTTAAGGGTGTGCGCAAATATGAGAGGAGAGTAAAAGAGCTGACCTACCAGGTACAGTCAATTAGACATTTGGCATCAAATCATTATCACCTATCTATTATGTAAAACATTTACAAAATTTAAATATATCCAATCTTTTTTCATAGACTGAAGAGGACAAGAAAAATGTTACCAGGCTGCAGGATCTGGTTGACAAGTTGCAGCTCAAGGTGAAGGGCTACAAGAGGCAGGCTGAGGAATCGGTAAGAGAGTTATTCATATTCATAATTAATATAGAGATAAAATGACAGAAGTCTTTCAAACTAATTTAGCTTTTTGTACAGATTATATTATTTATGTATAAGTACAAGAAATGTAGATGAATGCAACATCTATCACACTAAGCCATCATGGGACAAATATTGTACACACAAGTTATATACAATAAGAAGGTCACTATCATGCACCAAAAGTCTATCATAGTATAATCAGTAATCCTCTGAGTAAAATATTAAATAATTGTCACTAAAAGATGAACTTACTCTTGTTAACCAAATAAGTATATATATATAGATATATATATCTATATATATATAAAAAAAGACATTTAATATAAAATTGTAAAATGTTCAATACCTTTAAACCTTGTAAATGTTTTTCCAGGAGGAGCAGGCCAATGTTCATCTGTCCAAGTGCAGGAAGGTCCAGCATGAGCTGGAGGAGGCTGAGGAGCGTGCTGACATTGCAGAGACCCAGGTTAACAAGCTGAGAGCTAAGAGCCGTGACTCTGGCAAGGTAAATCAAACTTGTATTGAAAATTTGGAGATACTGTTACCTTAAGTTTAATGAAATGAACATGCCTCAACACTTTTGTTTTTGTCTTCAGGGAAAAGAGGCCGAGTAAAGTTCCCTGGCTGATCATCTACTGTACATCTCATCATATAATATGATGTGAAACATGAAAATAAAATACACAAGCACTGGAAAACTGCTTTCTGTCTGATCCTTTTCTTCTTATTGCTTAAGACTGGTAATATGTGCTATCCAGAAATCAAATACAAATGAGAAAAAAATCATCTAGACAGCCTTATCAACAAATCAGAGTAATTGGATTTGATAATACTTTATTGTCAGACATGGTCTGAAATGTTTCTTCAATCACAGCGGCTCCATTTGCAACAAAAAAATTAAAGACAAGATACAAAGATTTGACAAAACATTCAAACACCAAACAGATATGCAGAGACTTTAAATGAGCTTTGATCTGGGATTCAGCTCTACATTAAATTTTAGTATTGACTGGTGTACAAAAGAATGTTTCAGTCTGACCTTATTAAAATGTGGGACCCTGTATCTCCAGTTTGATGGTATAGTCCCTCATTTATTTCTTCAATGTCTGGTACTCTAACAAACATAAAGTCCTGCATATTAATCCTTTACTTTGAAGCCTTTTTTGTAGATGTTCTCTATCTAATGAGCCTCAATCTATCATTGAATTAGATTGTATATGGCCTTATTTAGATCAAACATCTGACGCAGGTTTAGAATGAAATAAACCTTCAGAGAAGGAATTATAATAAAAACCTTCACAAGCATGCAAGTATGATATAAATGAATTCAGGATTATATTGTATGTATTTATTGCTTTTTATTTTGTTTTGACAGGTAAAAGAGGATGAGTAAAGCACTCCAGTGGATGAGCTGTTTCTAATTACCGTATATATGATGTCAAATGTACTATAATAAAACATTCTCTGATCTTCCAATGCTTTTTGTGATATTTTTTTTTTCACTGACTTTATGGGTTTCCTACCTAATTGATATTGTATTATGTTTGTAATCAAGTTTGTTTTTGTTCAGAGTTCTGGGTTCAAACTGAAAACAACAGTTATAAATGAAAAAAACGTGTTACAAACTAATTTGTTAGTTCTAATCAAAAAAACCTCTACAATACATTGACAATGTTTTTGTTAAAGATTATTTGGTATCTACTATTAAGAGAAACATTTCCAGATAACTTTCAGTTTCAGTGTTTTAGTTTAGATTTCATGTTGAACTGTAAGGAGACACAAAACCCGCATGAGTTTTTGCAGACAAAAGAGGGGATAAGACACGCCCACTTACTCCTTTCGCACCGTTATCAGCAGCAACATGATACAATGTTTGCCCCACACACACAGTGGCCCTTTCCGAATAGCCACAGTTCAGTATGCAGTATGTACTATTTAGTAGGGAGTATCAGTATACTGAACTTTCGTGGTCATTCAGTATGTATTTTTTGGGTCCGCGCAGTATACTGAACTAACTTCCGGGTTTCATGCAGTATGGATCGGATGCGTGCTTTCAGGAAATGAATTGTATTCTAACTCCCACAATGCTGTGCGAGAAACGTAAATATAAAACGTCACTTCCTATGGTCACTTCACGTGCGATTCACGTGGATGCAGCTGGTTTGGGCAACGTGCCTTTCAAATGTGAAGTTGTTAAATTGTTTATATGCAATGTGACGTTTTGTATTATTCACTGAGCCACAGTGCATATCACGTAAAGTCTCTGCAATGAGTCATCAGTAGCTCAAAAACATTTACTCATGATTATTGTATGGATGTTGAAAACAAGTGCTTTTGCTGTACAGGGACAGATGACCACACGCAACAGCTGATCCGGTGGAGAGCCCGGAACGTCAATCTGTTCACCGCAAGGGTTTCGAGTAAGTTATACCATTTGCATCTGTAGATTTCATGGGTAGGTGCTGTCATGAGCTATGACAGGCTATATGGGCTCACAATCTATACTATTTTGCCTTAAACGTCGATGTCAGTGCTATGTTGTGTGATGATCTAACTCGAAGATAAGCTTAAAGGTGATTTTATCCTGGTATTAACCCATTACAATTACACTACACTTCTCATTAGAGCATGTGCAAAAGAGATGGGGGTGGAGGGGATAGTCCCCGTCCTCGCCCTGAAGAAGAGGTGGGAGAATTTGAAGCAGAAGTACAAAGTATGTAACTCATACAACTTGCACATTACATGATCAAGACTGACATGCTGTTTATTTGACCATTCATGCTACTGGTCCAGGAGGCTCTGCCAACTGTGGCAATTTTTGCTGCACACAGGATTCCTGTGACACATTTCACACTGTGCAACATTGAGAATATTCAATATGCCAATAGAATTTGAACTGAACAACATAAAATATACCTCATTGCTTAACATTACAATGGAAACATGTGGTTGTGTATTTGAATGGATATTGTTCACTAAAATATTGTGTTTTTCTCATGTTTCTTCAGGAGCTGTGGATCCCTAAAACAGAGGGGTCAGTACAGAGGGAGGGGAGATGACAGCTGCTTCCTGGAAGTGGTACAATTTAATGGATGAGGTGCTTGGGGCCAGCCACATCATCACCCCACTGGCCCTGGCATCTTCATCCTCCCAGGGAGCAGCTGTACTTTCCCTCTGAAGAGTGAGTTGCTGCCTCTGCCTCCACCTCTGCCTCCACCTCAGCCTCCATCTCCTCTCCTGCCACTGGCTCTCCTCCCAGACCCAGCACCTCCTCTCTTTCATCCTTCTCCCACTCCTCCACCTCCTCTCCATCTGCCAAAAGACGCAGGAGACCACCACCGTGGATGAGACTGTTTGAGCAGATGGAGAGGAGGGACGAGGAAAAGGAGAGGAAAGCAGAAGAGGGAGAGGAGAGGCTGCTCAATGAGATGAGGGAAAGGGAGGAGAGATTAGAGAGGGAGAGGAGAGAGGAGCAGGCGAGGAGGGATAGGGATGAGCGGTTTGCGCGAGAAGCGGCTGCCCGGGAGGAGCGCTTCTTATTTTGTCTAGATTTTTTAAACAATGTTTATGTTGGCAAGTTTGTTTGTTTGTTATTTGTGCATTTAAAGCCACTTTGTGTTATTTATTCATCCAATGAAACTGAAGAATTTATTTTGTCATTTTTTAAATAAATAATTTATTTTGTACACATTTTATTTGTATATTTGCATTGTATATTATAAATAACATCTCCAATAATGAAAGATATTGTACAAATGTAGAACATGCCAGTATTAGACTTTATGGTGAATCTCATTCTTTATCTTTGCTGGGGCATTTGTTCATTTACAGTAATGAAAGCAAATGTGTCAATTCATCTGGCACATTCATTCTTAACATGACATTTCTGAACAATGGTTGAACAGTGTTTCTGGACTGGTTATTATATCATTTGGGAGATATGTCAGGACCCTTTAAATCATTTTTGGAACTCAAGTTGGCTTTTTCTCCCCACAAAATCTTCATGTAGGAAGTAACACCTCTTGCATAGCACATGAAAAGTTGAGCTTTTGCTGTAGAGCTAAGCAAATCACCAACGTTCTTAATACAGACAGAATTCCTGCTGCCCAACAACCCAATCAGCATAATTAGATTCAATCTTTAAACAAAGGTCAATCCATGGTCCTTGTGATTAAGGTTAAGGTAAGTGGAATGCAAACTCCACATGATGAATGTCATCCTTGAGGAGGTAGATGACAATTGTAAATTAGGTTACACTGAAAATACACAATGACCATAAACTTTAAATGATTAACAGCAACACTCCATTCATGCAATTTCCTGAAAAAAAGTCTTTATTATCGCCCAGCCATGTTTTGTTTTGTTTACATACAATGTTAATTGTGTTGGATCATTAGCTTCCCTGTTGACAGGTACTGACAGGAGGCGCGACAAGAATGCTGATCCAGGGCCTCCCAAAAAAAATAAATAAATACAATGAAAATGTTGTGACAGTGATAAGTGGAGGGTGAATAGTGAATTGTGTAAATGTGTCAGGTGTAATGTGTTTACTGACAAACAATGTGCATGCGAGGTTCAGGTGTCATGGAGGTGCTCTTCAAGTGGTGTAGTCGTGATCACACAGTGCAGGAACACAGACTACAGGTGCTGAGACTGCAGCTGCAAGCCGATCTCGAAGGCCATCAGCCACCTGAGGATGAGCAGGAGCATCAGGGTCAGCCTCATCCACGTCCTGATCAGAAGGGGATTCCAGGTCCTCTGTACCCAGGCACAGGTTGTGCAGAACAGCACAGCACAGCAGGTTATCACCTCCACGGCAAATGGAATTCTCACTGCCATAGCCTTGAGGAAGATGGTCCGCCACCTTGTTTTCATGACCCCAAAGGCCTGCTCTACAACAAGCCTGGCTCTGGAGCGCTTGCTATTGAACCTGTGGTGTACAGGGCTCTGCACTGGCTCCCGATAGGGTGTGATGAGGGTGATGTGGTCTTGGATGCAGGGGTATCCAACGTCTCCAATGAGGAACCATGCCTGAGGGGGGTACAGCTGATGAACATACACATCAGAGTGCCTGAGGACATGTGCATCATGGACTGATCCAGGGTAACCCACAAAGACGTCCAGGAACTTCCCCCTGTGGTCACAGATGGCCTGGAACTGGATCGAGTGGAAGAGTCTGCGGTTTAAATATGCCTGCTCGTGTGCTGCTGGGGCAACCACTCTCACATGGCAGCCATCAATGCTGCCAGCCGCACGAGCAAACACTGCCGACCCCGCAAGGCGAGCAAAACCAGCACCAACTCCGTCCATCTCTGCAGCAGTGGGGAAACGGATCACCCGCTTCACAATGGCAAGGACCCTCTTACTGGCCTTGTGCACCAAGTCAAAGACTGTTGGCGTTGGAATTGCAAAAGCCTCTTCCACGACACGGTATGATGTGGCACTAGCCAGCCAGTAGAGGAACACCAGCATCTCCACTTCACTGCCCCAGCTGTGGGTAGAGTGGTCCTCCTCCAAAGTACCTCAGGAGTGGTACCTGGAGGTTTAATTGGCAGTATATGCCTCTAGCTCCCCTGGTATTCTGTGGGGAAAAGAAGGTTCTGAGTTAGAATCTGTGTAGTAATTCAGTTTACAATAGGCTGTTCAGTTAATGCAAGTATATCATATCAATGGCAAAACCAAATAACTTAAAACATTACATGGCTGGACTCACTCAGACAATAATTGCACATTGCGTTATTTTCCATTCTCTGTCAATTGCAAACAATTAATAACTAGAAACAGTTTTTCCCAATGCCACAGTATTAATGTGCATTTGGTGTGCATTACATGCATGTATGTATTTGGTAGCTACATGTATGTATGGTCAAGTACAAGATAAACACTATATAACTAACTGCATTATGGTTAATAATAAGATAACGAACTTTAATCAGCTGACTATATAGCTAACATGTGATTAGCTTCATGATACTTTATTTATATTCATTCTTATGTAAACTCATTGTATTGCATCTTCACTCACTCTAAACTCCCCCACTCACTCCTTTCGCGCCATTATCAGCCACAACATGATACAATGTTTGCCCCACACACACAAATACACACATACTCTCGAGTCCCCACAGTTCACCGAGTCGGGTGACGAGGCTTTTATAGGTTTGGTGACGTAGTAATTCACTCCTACGTAATAATGTACTCCACACAGCCGTTGAGTTTTTCAAACGGAAGGGCAGACACTATACACATTTCTAACACAATATTTCAAATTTCAATACTTTGTACTCAAATGTCGAGATTGCGACTTGGATTGATCCATAACACTACTTAATACTCAAATACAGAGGTTTAGAGTTGAAAAAAGTGGTTTTAGGGTTTAGTTACTCCTTAAGCTCACATCAAAGATTTCAAAGCCAGCAATATCCAGCACTCCAATGTAGAACTGCCTTGGCTGTTTGGTGTCCAACATCTGGTTGATATTTCAAAAACAGTCTTTACCATAGTCCTGCTCAAAACTTACTGAAGTCTAGGTTTTCCTGATGAGGTAGTGATTCATAGTTTATTTTTGGTCACCACTAAAGTGTAGCATGTCCTTGTAGAGCTTATATGCTGCACATGATTGGTGTTTGAATTCAAATTTTCCATTTACAGAGATAACTGATTGTCTTTTCATGATGACAAACTATTAAGAAACTTCCTAAGTGATCAGTTTAAAAGGCATGATCTATACCAGGTATACTTTCTAAAGAAACAAAGTGTCTCTTAATATTTGTCACATTGGATCAACATTTTAACTAACTAAATATAGCAGCCTAACTTCTAAATATCTTAGTCGTATGGTAATTTTCGGGTTGTCATACATTTACAACTTGCTCTTAAAGAACATATGGAGACTGAACACTTGAGCAATGCAACCCAGACATGGATTTTACAGCTGGAATAGAAGTGCTGACAGTTTTGGCTCAGTAGCGATTTATAAAAAGAGCTCTTGAGAGTATCAAGAAAAATAAAATGATATTATCACTTAAAAAATGTGCATACATTTCTATCATATTTAGGGATGTCAAAGACATGCTGAACCTACTCTGCCTTCACTGCTCAGTGAACTGTCCAATATTGCCCTACAGGGATCAGGAACGGGCATTACAGGCAACTGAAGCATTATCACATGGACCGTGATGTGAGAAAACATCATTAACGCTCCCGGCAGCGGGTTAGCTCAAAGTTAGCTGACCTCGTAGCTGCCGTCCAAAACACGACACGCTCTGACTTCAGAAATGTTTAAGATGATGTTTCGCTTGTCCAAAGCCCAAGATGATTAAAATATACGGGCTGTTGCAGTGACTCGTGTTCAAAGTGACGGCTAAAAGTGCTCTAACTCCCCTCAGTGTTATTGAAAATCACCCCCAAAGTGTAATACCGCTAAAGCGCAGTCAAATCGATGATAAACGCATTGTATTTCCGGAAGTTTCTTCACAATAAAAGTCCTCCTACGTTAAGTGTATAAAATGTTTTTATTTTGATGAAGTCATATCAGACAATTGTGTGTTTTCAGGAGTAGCAACTTAACACAACTAACACGAGAGAGAGAAACAACTTTCTCGAAGCACACAGATTCAGTTTGGAGCTACGACGTACTGACAACTGAACACACATTGACTTGTAAAAATATCTTCTTTGGTCTCATAAACTGAACACAGTGAACTATGATAAAATCGTGTATAAGCTTGTAGAATTGTTTCATAATAATGGCCTTATGTGACATTTTAAAGAGAAGTTAAATCAAATCTAATTGATATCATAAAAGAGAAGAAAAAAATAATTATTATTCTCTTCAATCATTTAAATGTTCAAGTTGGTTAGTTGATGAGAGTAGAGGGTAGAATAGTTTGTAGAAAGTTTCATTCATATTCTAGTTGGGTAAGGTTTATTTATGTAATCTTTGAAAACCACATAATAAATGTGGTGTATTTTATGAACTTAAAGTGTTTTTTAATTTAAGAGGAAATGTGTTGCTCAATTTGAAGTTCTAAGTTGCCTTTAAATCAAAAAAGTATTCCTTTTAATGTCTTCAACCATCATCTTGATTTACCCAACCCTAATTACATCATTTAAAATAAGATGATTTTAATAACAAAATACTGTACAACTTTAACAATGAAAAAAATAATTACTGATTAATGGTGATTAAAGTGTAGACTGTCTTCCTTTAGAGTACAAATGTATTTATCAATTTCCTTTTCTAATTGGATTTTAACCCCAGGAAAAAACACAGGCCTATTTCTAAATATATTAATTGACTTCTGTAGAGCATACAAGAGGCTGGAGAGCCTGTAGCTAATCTAAAGTAAAGTAATGATCAAGCAATAATTCAATACTGGCCATACTAATGAAACCTGAAACATTAGACGTATTCTTCCAACAGATGCTTTAAGTGATCTCCTCCATATCACTGACTACATTTAACTTTGGAGGTGTCAGCACTGCCCCACTCAATATAAACAGTTGTTCAGGAACGGGAAGTTCACAGAAGACCTTGGAGTTCCTGCTTGTGGTACATCTATGTTCTGCAATGCTTCAGAAATTGATTCTGTGATGCTGTGATTTTTCATCTCCTCTAACATATGTTAAACTGTTTTGAACAGGATTGGTGAATACTACCTACTGACAGAGAAGGGAGTCAGGTAAGTAATCTATCATTGATGTGTGAGACATATTAGTGATGCATATAATGAAAGCAGTTAGTTATAAAATGACTGTGTTGTAAATTTAAACTGTATCCTAGAATGTATTCTATAAATAAACTTATTCTGAAATTACACAGAAAAACTTTATATAAGGATATGGAAACATGGTTTCAATGTGGATATGATTCATTCTCATGAATATTTTAAGTCCAATTATTGTTTACTAACATGAACTTAAAACTCAGTCTAAGATGTAATTTCAATTATGATATTAGATACAAGCCGCCACCATGAGTACGGACGCAGAGATGGCCATTTATGGCAAGGCTGCCATTTACCTCCGTAAGCCTGAGAAGGAGAGAATCGAGGCTCAAAACAAACCTTTTGATGCCAAGAGTGCCTGCTATGTGACTGATGTGAAGGAGCTGTATGTGAAGGGAACAATCCTTAAGAAGGATGGTGGCAAAGTCACCGTCAAAACCCTGGACACTCAGGAGGTTAGTATCTTTAAATCAGAGTCAAATTGTTCAATATGATGATTGCTCATTGTAACAAGTGTCCTATTGCAGGAGAAAACAGTTAAAGAAGATGACGTCACTCCAATGAACCCTCCCAAGTACGACAAAATTGAGGACATGGCCATGATGACCCATCTCAATGAAGCCTCTGTGCTTTATAACCTCAAAGAGCGTTATGCAGCATGGATGATCTATGTAAGAAAATGTGCCCTAATAAGAAACAAGATGTTGTTTAACATGGATTTACTTGTTTGAAACATTGAGGTAACTGTTGAATCTCTGTGCTTTCAGACCTACTCTGGGTTGTTCTGTGCCACTGTGAACCCCTACAAATGGCTCCCAGTGTATGACCAAGAGGTTGTAAATGCCTACAGAGGCAAGAAGCGTATGGAGGCTCCACCCCACATCTTCTCCGTCTCTGACAACGCTTTTCAGTTCATGGCTACTGGTAAGTCATAATGATACAGATCATTTATCAGTATATGATGTTTCTGATGGAAGAAAACAGAGTTAACTGTTTTTGAATGTCTATATCAACAGATAGGGAGAACCAGTCCGTCTTGATCACGTAAGTTTAAAATGTGTTTAACATATTGCTTATATACTTCAAAAAGTATATCAAACAAGTTCTTAAAAGTATTTTTTATACCTAGTGGAGAATCTGGTGCTGGAAAGACTGTGAACACAAAGCGTGTCATCCAGTACTTTGCAACCATCTCAGTTGGTGGCCCAAAGAGGGACGCATCAAAGGTGGGATAAATTACTATTTTAACTATTGAGCATTCTGCATGTATGCAATATTTTTACATTGGAAAATAAAATATTTTAATATCAACTCTAAACCTTCATTACAGGGTTCCCTTGAGGATCAGATTATTGCAGCTAATCCTCTGCTGGAGGCCTATGGTAACGCCAAAACTGTGAGGAATGACAACTCATCTCGTTTCGTAAGTATGGAGGGATTTCTGCAAATCAGATGTCTTGCTACACATTGTCCATGTTCATTGATGTTAAAAAAAACTGCCTTTGTTCCAAAAAGGGTAAATTCATCAGAATCCATTTCGGCACAACTGGCAAACTGGCTAGTGCTGATATTGAGACGTGTAAGTAACAATACTATTAGAATAGGCAAATAACTAGAATGAAGAATTGGACAGTGTGACTTATGAACATTATTCATAGATCTGCTGGAGAAGTCTAGAGTGACATTCCAGCTTCCTGATGAGAGAGGCTACCATATCTTCTACCAGATGATGACCAACCACAAACCTGAGATTATTGGTAAACACATTGACTTGTTCCTCAATGTTAAACTGCTTTATGCATTTTATACATGACAATGCATTGAACTTCTCACCCTTTTGATCTCCAGAAATGACACTCATCACAAGCAACCCCTACGACTTCCCCATGTGCAGCATGGGTCAGATCACTGTTGCCAGCATTGATGACAAAGTTGAGCTGGAAGCCACTGATGTGAGTGAACTTCACTATAAAATATTTGCATACTGTATGTTTTGTGAATAATTGCAACATTAAAAGTAATCTATCTACAAATTGACAACATCTGGTTTGGACACCTCTTTCAAACATAGAACGCTATTGATATCCTGGGCTTCAGTGGTGAAGAGAAAGTCAGCATCTACAAGATGACTGGTGCTGTGCTCCACCATGGTAGCATGAAGTTCAAGCAGAAGCAGCGTGAGGAACAGGCTGAGCCTGACGGCACAGAAGGTGAGATCTCAATATTTATAAATTTATTTATTTATCATAGTTCAGGAACAACAAAAATATTACATAGAATATTTAACTGTGAATCACTGCACTTTTGTCAGATGCTGACAAGGTTGCATACTTGCTGGGTCTGAACTCTGCTGACATGCTGAAGGCTCTGTGCTATCCCAGAGTGAAGGTCGGAAATGAGTTTGTGACCAAGGGACAGACTGTACCTCAGGTAAATATAAAACGTAAAGAAATGCAAAAAATTGCACTTCAGTAAAGTAGTAACGACTCTAATATGACAATGAAATGGTAGCGTTTTATTTAAAGCTACTTTTCAGGAGTTGGATTTAGCACTATGTGAAAACCATCTTCAAAGTGGATATATTATGAGAAGAAGTTTACTTGATACCTCACTGACTTTAATCAAACTGTATTTGTGTTTTTATTTAGGTAATGAACTCAGTGACTGCCCTGGCCAAGTCTATCTATGAGAAAATGTTCTTGTGGATGGTAGTCCGTATCAACCAGATGTTGGACACCAAACAGCCAAGGCAGTTCTACATTGGAGTGCTGGATATTGCTGGCTTTGAAATCTTTGATGTGAGCTAAATTTCCAACAGTTCAGTACCTGACTGACTTTTCTTGATAGAAAAACTCTTTTTGTCTGCAAAAACTCATGCTGGTTTTATGTCTCCTTACAGTTCAACACTTTGGAGCAGCTCTGCATCAACTTCACCAATGAGAAACTGCAACAGTTTTTCAACCACCACATGTTTGTCCTGGAGCAGGAGGAGTACAAGAAGGAGGGTATTATCTGGGAGTTCATTGACTTTGGCATGGACTTGGCTGCCTGTATTGAGCTGATTGAGAAGGTAAAGAGTCCATGAAATTGCTCTTAGTTATATTCAATGTACATATGTATGAAATGTATGAAAATGTAAAGATTATAACATATGTCTTTCCCTCTTCTAAAGCCCATGGGTATCTTCTCCATCCTTGAAGAGGAGTGCATGTTCCCCAAGGCAACAGACACATCTTTCAAGAACAAGCTGTATGACCAGCATCTCGGCAAAAACAAAGCATTTGAGAAGCCCAAGCCCGCAAAGGGCAAGGCTGAGGCCCACTTCTCCCTGGTGCACTATGCTGGTACAGTGGACTACAACATCGGTGGCTGGCTGGACAAGAACAAGGATCCACTGAATGAGTCTGTTCTGCAGCTGTACCAAAAGTCCTCAGTTAAACTGCTGGCTGCTCTGTATCCTCCTGTTGTTGAAGGTAAGAAAGCCAAAGATTTATATACAGTATATAATGTATTTTTATGTTCTACAAAATGTACATTATTCAAAAAACTGTAGCATTGGTTTATGTGAATTATATTTTGAGTTAACAAACGTCTCTACTTGAACATATCAACAGAGGTTGGCAAGAAGGGAGGCAAGAAGAAGGGTGGTTCTATGCAGACTGTGTCTTCACAGTTTAGGGTAAGGTTTTACATGGAAGACTTTG